ACCGTAGACAAAACAAACCAAACCAAATCAATCAAGAATTTTTGGAATAGCATCTGGCAGGGATTTAAAACATGTTCGCCTAGCTGAAAATTTCTTGGCAAAATCCAAAGAAGAATCTGTGATGTTATTGGTGCTGACATGGCATCTCGATTTAAGTCACTTTCCTTTCGCCGTAAAGGAACTTACCTATGCCTTTTCTATAAATATTTTAATGGTAAGAGTTCTGATGTGTTTTCCTCTTTGATACCTCAGCTTTACGAATTTAAGCGCAGTACTAGATTGGCAGCTAGGTCTCACCATTTTAAAGTTGAAATTTCTAGATGTAAACGTAAACTTATGGGAAACACATCTGCTTCATCCTTTCCACTCAACTTTGATTTTCAAAAAATGTAAATCCAATGTTAATCGTCATCTTCTGTTTCCTTGAATCTTGTTTTTTATTGCCCTTTATGCATAATAATGATTTTCTCATATTATTTCACACTGAGTAACTTCTTGTGTCACATTGGCTTTTTCGCTGTGCTTGAATGTGAAATAATAATAATGACAAAAATAGATATACATTTCTATTACACTATTTACATTATTCGGACTATTGTCCTCATCTTTGTCGCCATATTTATTACAACGTTTCGGCCTTTCAGTATCTGTCTATATTTCTGAGATTAGGTATTATGTACACTATTTACATTATTCGGACTATTGTCCTCATCTTTGTCGCCATATTTATTACAACGTTTCGGCCTTTCAGTATCTGTCTAAATTTCTGAGATGAGGTAATATGTAAACTATTTACATTATTCGGACTATTGTCCTCATCTTTGTCGCCATATTTATTACAACGTTTCGGCCTTTCAGTATCTGTCTATATTTTTGAGATGAGGTATTATGTACACTATTTACATTATTCGGACTATTGTCCTCATCTTTGTCGCCATATTTATTACAACGTTTCGGCCTTTCAGTATCTGTCTATATTTCTGAGATGAGGTATTATGTACACTATTTACATTATTCGGACTATTGTCCTCATCTTTGTCGCCATATTTATTACAACGTTTCGGCCGTTGTACGCTCCGGCCTTCTTCAAAGACACATGACACAGTGGATAAAGACGTTAGTTAGATCCAGTGACAGGACCCAAAGAGTATCAATATCCGGTTAAGGCAGTGGAGAACTTTCAGAGGGAAAATTAACAGGAGATAACTGATAACTGACATCCATAACTGATAACTGACATAGCACGTGGAACTAGAACAGTCAAAAGTTCGACATTCCAACCACCTGACGAAGGCCGGAGCGTACAACGGCCGAAACGTTGTAATAAATATGGCGACAAAGATGAGGACAATAGTCCGAATAATGTAAATAGTATACATAATACCTCATCTCAAAAATATAGACAGATCTTAATTACCGCTAAAACATGCTGATAAGTTTCACGCGAATTTAACAGTATTTTCTTATTTAGAGGCTTTAAAGTAAATCTCTGTAGACAATTGCATAAAGAAATAAATCCTTTTTGTACCCTATTTGTTGTCAAGGATGAGTGGATGGTGTAATGATGGAGTTCAAATATTTACTGTTAATGCTGCGCCCACTATCTTACAAATGCCCTTGGGAAAACATGAATTTGATATTTCTTCCTATAGAAGAAAATTAAATAAAAGCACTGAGCTTTCCCACCTAATGAAAACTCGACTAAAAGAAGGAAATGTGAATTCGAAAACGGGAAGAAAGCAATGGGAAACCATTCCAGTATATCTCTGAAGAACGCATGGCATTTACTCTGATAATAAAGACACGAAGAAACATTATATTTTCTATCAATCGTTCCCAGCATCTGGGCATTGTGATCGAATTATCCGTTCCAAAATAACTGATTGAAAATATTCCTTCACTTCATTAAGCAAAAGGCAGACTTATTTTTTTCTTGGTAATGATTAAGTAA